TGGTCAAAAGGCATGCCCCAAATAGTTGTGGGTCTCTTGCCTGACTGATTTCTGCAATACCCTAGGTATTAGAGCTGGTGGAGAAACACGTAAGTGTTTAGTCCTAGGCAGGAGATGCTTCGCATGTCCGTTGCCCCTGTCCGTGGATCTGGTATTGGTGAGACGAATGTTATCAGTTGACCCTTGTGGGGAAGAGGTCTCTTAAAGGTTCAACCATCTCTTGTATGGTCTGTTTGAAGATCTCTGAATGTAGCATCCAGTCTGTTGAGAATGGCGGCGTTGGACAGGATAGTGTATCTGCTAACACATTCTTGGTTCTTGGAATGTGGCATACTCTGCAGTGGACAGTCAGGTTGACTGTTATGCTGATCAACTGAAAGCAGAGGTCCAGAAGGTTCGCCAACTTCGTTGATCCTTCTGTGGATGTAGACCGTCACTGTGGAGGTGACTGTGTGTACCGTTAGATGAGCATTTTATAAAAAAGCTGATCCGGTGGAGTATGGCGTTTATCGCTGCTTTCATTTCCAGCATATGGAAGTGCAGATCGTCTTTGCTATGGTCCATATCCCAGCTGACACATTGTTGACAAGGTGTGCTCCTACTCTAGGAGAGATGCGTCCCCATAGAGATGCGTCTTGAACTGCGACCCCGCTAATTAGGTGCGTCTGCAACCCTCCTCGCACGGAGTTCACCATATATAAATATGGGTTATAACCTGTCCGGATCGTCCGGTTGTACATTCGTGAAGACCAGTAGTGGGCGAGTTGTAATTCTCTTTGCATGTCATGCCTTGTGCTGACGTGCAAAAAACCAACAGATTCCGCTACTTCGTAGTAAAAACGGAGAGAGTAGTGCTTGAGATACAAGAACTTGTATCTATATCCTACGATCTTGACACCCTTACCGTGTCTGTAAGGAAATGAAGCGATGGCCGACTCTGTGACTGCCATCGTTGAGAACTCTATGTAAAAATCGCCTGGCTGCCACGCCCTCGTCTTCAGTGATGTCAGGGGAGGTCTCTAACCCCATGAAGGCAGCCAAATCACGAAGGTCCAGTCTAACTGGACTGTAATGGAGGCGTTGCTCGCTCACTGACATGTTGTTGTCACTTGTAACCCATTTCTTGATCTGTGAACTACGTCCGACCTCTGCGCAGGGCGTTGTCCCTCGTGGTCCAATCAAAACAAAGCATTTTGATTCTTTAGGCTAGCCGCGCTGTGATGTCACCGGTGTCGCAGGAAAAAGATCCTTGTAGAATCTAGTGCCGTCGTTGATATCTGATCAATCGTCGGTCTTGTCCGTAGCTTTCCGAAGTTACACGAGTGACCACGTGTGTCGAGGGTTAAATGGTAAACGAGCGAATATTTCGGCGCGAAATGTTTTGCCGCGTAATATCGATGCTCGGTAAGCTGTTTTCCTGGCTGCTGTGACTCTTACTTCAGTCTTGAAGATAATGCCGTCTTCCTTATACATAGGCTCATTTGAACTTCCACGTTGTCAGCTTGTAGACTGCATACATCAATGAAGCGTCGTAATTGTAGAATTAATGCTGAACTTGTTGTAAATTTTACTCAGGGAATTGGTGACGAGTATGTAATTTCCTAGCTGTAGCAAGGCTGCTGTTGAACTCCGCCAGTGAGAATGTCTGCAGATCTGTACGAAGGTGAAGATCTCTATAAGGCCACGAATCTTCTAATGTAGACATATCAATCTATGTGAATCCCGTCCTGGATTCCCTCTGAAGATCCGAGCTAGTGATGAATTCTGACAAGAGTACCTCTCTTGTACTGTATTACCTATCTTCAGTCTGTGTACCGACGAAGATTTTTTCCCTTCTAGGATGACGCTACTTCGTGTCCTAGTTGAATAACCTTGACGATCTGCGTAGTGATCTGCGTGGTGGTCGGCTTGGGGTTACTGTATGGCGCCTTGCATGTAGATAATCGTCTCGTAGTCCGGGATTGCCTACCTGGCAATATATACGGAAATGGTGATTCCTGTGATGATCTGCGAAGCGTCGTTGATGCCCTTGATGTAGGTAGTCGGCCTGAAGATCCTTTATTAGGCTCTTCATCTGTTGACAGTCTCTGAAGATAGCGCCGTCCTTCACGCAAGTTGTAGACTATATGTAGCGTTATGTTAAGAAGTTACGTACTGCGACGTCTCTGCCTTGTGGATGGCCTGTGTGAATGCCTTCGCGCAGGCTTGGTGATGACATGTAGCGTTCTGTTGAGGATGTAAGTACTGCGGCGTTTCTGCGTTGAAGATGGCCTGCGCGAATGCTTTCGCGCAGGCTTGTAGACGGCATGTGGCGTACAGTAGAGAGACGAAGTACTGCGATGTCTCTGCTTCGCTGGAGACCTGTGTGACGACCTGCGTGAAGACCTTCATGGAGACCTGTGTGGGGATCTGCGTGGAAATCGGCGATCGACGTGGTAAATAGCCCAACGAACTGTGCCTGTAGGGTGACCTGTGGGTTCGCGAAGGTCCTGGTGAATCCCTCGATGATCTATAGGACGAAGATGCTTGTATACTGTAGCTGACGTCCTTCGCGAAGGCATTCGCGAAGGCTCATCTGAGTCCGCACTTGGGGAGTGGCGACTGGTGCTTCGCGAACGCCTTCGCGAACGCTGGTCGTCCGATTCTGTATCTGGGGATGGAAGAATTCTCCTTCGCGAATGCCTTCGCGAACGCTGATTCCGCATCTGGGGGATGGCGACTGGTCCTTCGCGAACGCCTTCGCGAACGCCGGTGGTCCGATTCCTTCGCAGGGGATGGTTGAGTCGACCTTCGCGAAGGCTGGCCTGTAGCGTAGATCTGCTGCCAGATGTCACGTTGATGGAGGGCCCCTCAGAGACGACGTCTGCGTTGGAACCTTCGCGAAGACTCGGGACCTCGTTGTGGGCTGTGACTTCTTCTCCAGGCCGTAACGCTGTTCATCTCCTGCATAAGGTCCCCCCCGGTTTGAAGGTCTGCGGTGGTAGTAGCGCTGCCCTTTCTGCGTTGATAGCGACGTGGCCCACAGGACGCTCATCTGTTGTCATCGTAGATACCTCGGGTACCGTGGAGATCTGCGCTGAAGTCACCGTAGCTGACTGGTCGTTACTTGTGATGAACCTCTGGGAAGATGATCGGTTGATCATCGGAGAGTCCCTGTACCGTCAACGGAACAATCTCGGCAGAGAAAGTCCTTGTAGTCTGCGCAGACGTCCCCGTAGAGTTGTCGTCATCTAAGGGGTGTGTAGCCTTCTCTGGGTAGAGGATGGCGTCTATACATCGTCTGCGATGATTGTAGAGCTGCCCTCTCTGCGTTGATAGCGATATGGTCTGGAGATCGCTCATCTGTCGCCCTCGGACTGCGTGCTGTATCTCTGGGATGATCAGCAGTGGCTTACCATGAAGCCCTCTCACTGGCATCGGGATGTGGCTTCATTCTGCGTAGAGGATGGCGTCTTCTACGTCTGCGTTGAGGGGTTGTTCGATGTAGAAGCCAAAGTCTTCGAAGTAAGGCGGACAACATCCCACGCCCATTCTCCGAGGACACCTCCGGCAGGTCACTTGATGGTAGTAAGTCGTCTAACAGCAGTAGACAGCTCATGAGGGACTCAGCCAGTATACCCATGACTTGGAAGTCACCTGGATAGTTGATAGTACGTCTAAGTACGGAGAAAAATTATATATTAATTTGAATTTCAATTAAAAGCTGATAAAGATTACAGCTATAGCTGGAAGTACATATTGTTGTGCAGCTAGGGCACACTCAACGCGGGTCTGCAACAGCGAACCTAAACCAACAACGAAAATAGGTTATCATGAAATGTAAACAACTGAACAAATACGGACAATACCATGAATAAACAGTGCTAAATACGATTAAATATCCAACCATATTGTTGTAGGATACTAACTAAACCTCTATAAAAGTAGAATAGAGGAGAATAACTAATAAGTTAAAGGATATAGTGCCGTATAGGAGACACAGGTGCTCTCACAACCTGCCCACAGGGCGAAGAAGGAGAGAGTGAGGCATGTGGGCACGGTGGCGCCACAGTTTCCCGCCTAAACGGCTGGAGAGATAACTCTTGGAAGGAGTGTTTTTACGTCTATTCTTTATTGAAGGGAGCTTCAATAGGAGGTACAAGTGTTCCACTATGTTCGCAAGAAGAAGACAAGCAAAAGAGCATGAGTCAGGATAAGGAAAAAATATAGTGAACTGGAAGTTGAAATGCTGTGATGTACAGCTGAAAATCTGTTCCAAGCCCATCTTGTAAACTCTTTGATAAATATTCTGTATATTTTCAGCACATCATTCTCACAATCAGAAATCTCAGGAAGATCTGTCAAGTCACCGGCGACATCCTTCAGACACTCCGCACAGGTACACAAGTGAATCCTCCCCATATATACTTCCATGTCAAATAAAGACAAACCATGCAAGGAGCATTGAAATAAAACCTTTTTCCTCCATGCATAAAAAAAAACAGAACATATCTTTCATTTGAAACTGAGGTTTGATGTAGTTTAGTGGTGAAAGCATCTGTTCGACCCTGTTTTCTATTCCTCATATGGTTACAATGTCTGAAATCCATTTCTGTTGCCCCTCGTTGGGATGTTGCAATAGTATTGTCAAACAGACATAAAACTTTACTCACTCTTTCATTCCTCAGGGTGAAATTGGGTAGCCTAATGATTAAAGCATTAGTTAATCATGACAAAAACCTTGGTTGATTCCCTACTTGTGAAGCCCATTGCTGGAGTCCCCTACCGTGATATTACGGGAATATTGCTAAAAGCGGCGTAAAACTTAACTCATTCACTGACTCATTCTTCAGTGTGTATGACATGGTGAACAGGAATGGTAATCATGTTTTGTATGAATTGTTTTAGTCTAGACAACTGGAAATCTCAACAATCATTCAACAACAACCCTACAGTACCGATTGGCCTTGGGATGGTGTCGCCAACAGAATCCCCACAAAGCCCCGACTATGTGGAGGACGATGGCGGCTGGTCCAGCGGGGAGTTTTCCAACACAGATGATGATGAATATATTCCCAAAATTGAGGTAGGTTGTTTTAAAGTGTAACCATGGTGATTCCAGAGTAGTGTTGGTCCCAAACATCCTTTGTTGATCGTTAGTCGTAATTCAATGGAGCTGGGTGCCAACATACAAAACAACCTCTTGTTCTTACGATTTTCGGGAAAGAGACAGTTTACTTGGCATCAATGTAAAAGTTTCAGAAACGATGAAACATAGTGTTGTGTAATAGTCGATACACAACGTTTTGACAACGTATATATGTATGTGCTGTATAGTGAAATAATGTCATAAACTGACGTAATACTAATGTTGTGTCATGACGTTACCAATCTACAACGGATGGTCAGACTCGCTGACTTGGTTGACATATCTCATCGTATCCTAATTGAATAGATCGATGCTCATGCTGTTTATCACTGGATTGTCTGGTCCAGACTTGATTTTTTATAGTCCACGCCATATAGCCGCGAATATTGCTGAGTGCGGCCTTAAACAGACAAACAAAACAGATCAGTTTAGCGCTAAGATCATCTTATGGAACAAGACCCTGTCTCCTTTGTCCTGATAGACAGTAAATAGTCAAAGTGTAATTGTATTTTGTTCACAGCCGTCTTAGCGTGAGCACTTTGTTTCACTGGGGGATTACTTCCCGGTGGAACAGAAGGAGCTGGGTCTACGCGAGGGTGATCTAGTGGAGGTCCTGAGCGTGGGGACCAACGGATGGTGGTACGCCAAGCACCTGACGTCATACCTGGAGGGGTGGGTCCCATCAACATACCTGGAGTCAACACGACGTACGCTGCCATCAGATTCAAGCACAGGTTAGTATGAATGTTAATTCTGACAGTCAGCAACACGTCAACGAAGTGCTTCAAGTAATGCAATCTGCATATAGAAGGGTATTTATGAATGGTCAATCATGTCAACAGCATTGCAAACATGGTGGTTTTCAGAATACTTGAAGTGATTCTTAGGGTCGTAAAACATATTCTCAACAAACCAGTCTCTGGTGGTTGTTTGAGTACTTGAAGTGATTTTTAGAGTCGTAAAACAAATTCTCATCAAACCAGTGTCTGTATGTTGTCAGAATACTTGAAGTGATTCTGAGGGTTGTAAATCATATTCTCATCTATCCAATCTGTGGTGGTTGTCAGAATACTTGAAGTGATTCTTAGGGTCGTAAAACATATTCTCATCAAACCAGTGTCTAGAGGTTGTCGGAATACTTGAAGTGATTCTGAGGGTTGTAAATCATATTCTCATCTATCCAATCTGTGGTGGTTGTCAGAATACTTGAAGTGATTCTGAGGGTCGTAAAACATATTCTCATCAAACCAGTGTCTAGAGGTTGTAGGAATACTTGAAGTGATTCTTAGGGTCATAAATCATAATCTCATCAAACCAATCTGTGGTGGTTGTAGGAATACTTGAAGTGAGTCTTAGGGTCGTAAAACATGTTCTCAACAAACTTATCTGTGGTGGTTGTAGGAATACTTGAAGTAATTCTTAGGGTCGTAAAACATATTCTCATCAAACCAATCTGTGGTGGTTGTAGGAATGCTTGAAGTAATTCTTAGGGTCGTAAAACATATTCTCAACAAACCAATCTGTGGTGGTTGTAGGAATACTTGAAGTGATTCTTAGGGTTGTAAAACATATTCTCATCAAACCAGTGTCTGGTGGTTGTCAGAAAACTTGAAGTGATTCTTTGGGTCGTAAAACATATTCTCATCAAACCAATCTGTGGTGTTGTAGGAATACTTGAAGTAATTCTGCGGGTCGTAAAACATATTCTCATCAAACCAGTGTCTGGTGGTTGTCAGAGTACTTGAAGTGATTCTTAAGGTCGTAAAACATATTCTCATCAAACCAATCTGTGGTGTTGTAGGAATACTTGAAGTGATTCTTAGGGTCATAAATCATAATCTCATCAAACCAATCTCTGGTCGTTGTAGGAATACTTGAAGTGAGTCTTAGGGTCGTAAAACATATTCTCAACAAACCAATCTGTGGTGGTTGTAGGAATACTTGAAGTAATTCTTAATGTCAAACAGTTCTGAACTTTAAGAGTGGATACACAAAAGGTGGCTTTGAGTTCTTTTGGTAAATTGTTCCATAATTGAGTCTCTGACACCTATTTTGCTTGTGGATACTGGTTGGGACAAGAGGAACTGATCGGAGGAGGTCTTGATGGCCTGTAGACACTGATGAGCTCTGTAAGTTAGAGAGTGCTGTTTCCCTGTAGCAGGCCCGATGAGTCAGTAACAAAATTTTATAGGAGATTCGCTACTGGACTGGCAAGCAGATAGTTAGAATTTAGGCTTAAGTGTGTTTTTAAAATTTATATTTTGTTTCTAGTTTTTGACTTATTGTATTGCTAGTTTTATGCTAATAGTTTCTATGCTTCATTCATCTGCTGTCTAACTCTCGAACAATACAAGGGAGATAATGCTTATTTGTCTTATTGCCATGCTGTTAGCTACTACATTTCAAATCACAAAGTTTCTCACTGTGGTCACTGGTTCAAGGTGGTGTAATTTGCTCTACAGAGTTCAGTCCCTTAGTACTACCAGGATCCTCTGATTGCAGGTTCTGTTAGCACCATCTCTTGGTTTCTTCAAAGATGTAAATATCTAAGACCTGTGACAACTTTCTTGACAAATTGAACTGAAATTTTGCAAAATCACAACAGCAGCTTTGGAAGTAGCTTAGAAATCAAATCACAAACCAGCTCAATGTTATGCTATGATCAGTTGTGACAGACACAACAGTAGTTTGCTCAATATTTAAATTAAGTCGTCAGAGCTACAGATAACATTTTTGGTCATTGAGTTATGTACGGGCTTGTGTTCATCTCAGTATGGTATTCTAATTTTCCTTTGACTAACCAAATAAATCGTACTCGCCTCACTCAAAGTCAATTGGATATTTTGCCATTTTCCATTTATTGCAAAAATATAATAAAGTTTAAATGTTAGTGTTTGTTATTTATATTTGATCCGTAATATGAGAAACGATATGAAAGACTACAAGTTGCCAAGTTCATGTCCCGAAATAGAACCTCTCAATATACCTCAGTTATTTTATCTATTCACCAGTACGCAAGCTCAGATTTGAAAGTTTTGTGTGTACCCATGTAAGATCACATTTTTTGAGTATTTACAAATATACAAGTGTATTTGTACACAATCGACCTAATAGGAATTGAGTTTTCCCATAAATATTTGGGTAATTTACTCAGATACGCAGCTTACCTGTACCCCTGAGTCTTTGTACGGGTTTTGCTTTTACAGCTGCAGCTTTGTTTATTTATCAAATTGTTTTATCCTTTGTGTTGTGCCTGGCTGATTGAGGTATTGTTTTTATAATATGACTGAGTCTGGAAAATAATCATGGCTACTAGGTGATCAGAAATAGTCCAGGATATTTTAGAACTGATACTATGCAATAAGCTGATGGAAACATGAGGGAATGCTTAAAAGTACAGAGTGTTCCATTATTCCATTCCAGATTTGTTCACCAGTTTTGTATTGCACTGTGGGGAATAAGTGAAAGAACACTATGATAAAGTGGTGTTCTGAAATTGTTTTCTTCAGTAAAAATACTGGAAATTTCAAATCATAAAAAAACACAGTGATCTGGAAAATTACCCATATTCATCTATATGTTAAAATTTGGTACGAAGAAATATTTCTTTATTGTTTTACAGTCATATTTAGTGAAAATGTTTTGAAAAAAATACTGACTCTGCAGTTTAAATTTTACTTCATGATCCTTTACACATCATCTGTTAATCCTCGTAAATATCAGAACATCATTGACCATGGAAGCTGTGGTGGCTCAGTGGGCTAGACGGCTGACTTTGTGTGCTTGTGATTTGGTGCCTGACTGAGTATGGGTTTGAATCCCGGATTGGAATCGACTCAATGAAAGTACTAGAATCTGTACGTTACTCAGAAAGTGTAATCCCAAATGTAACGTGTTACCATTGATCAAATTTATACAAACCTACATTTTGTTTGACCAGGCTGGGCCCCTTAACAGGTAAGTTCATCACTAGATGAAGATGACAAGCTAACTCTCAGCTAGTGTTTTACTAACATTGAAACTGTAGATATCTTACAAGGTTCATATACATGGTTCTGCATCTATGTTGTATGCACCGTGCCCTGAACTTGCATTCTGAACTGAACATTCTTTCCATATTTGTTTTTCAGATTATGTGCTATGTTTCATATTTCAAATATGACAGTGTATCATGTGAGATGGGATAATTGTTTGTAAAAAAGGAAAGAAATAATTTTATTGGGTTTTTGAAACTTAGCTTATATTATGAACATGTGTCTCTTTCCACATATTCGTATTTAAAGTTCATCTATGTTAAAAATGATGACAACGAACTTAATGAAAAGATGGTATATTCAACTGAATATATTTGGACTATTTTTCACACAAAAAAGTCAAAAGTGAAAAATGTACGCATATTAATTCTAATGATGAAATATAATTAATATTTTGCATCTCAATGATTCATTCGTGATATTTTGACCTGTGTTTTACTAACAAAATGTGTATATTGCATACATACTTAGCTGTTATATGAATGCATGCCGTAGAACCAGATTAACATAGTGTGTATATTAACTACTAGATATATATATAGTTAGATATAACATATTGAGGAGGAGCTAGTGTCTTGTACATTACTAACACTGTAGAAGGGGACAGCTGATTGACAGCTGCCAATCAAAAGCATGAGTGCTATTGATGTCGATGTTGGTGATGAGGAAGATGTTAATTTTTGTGTGTTTTATTAGCTGTTAGTTTGGTCTAATAAAGAATTATTTGCTTAAAGTGGAGCAGCAAGGGTCACTTATAGAAGGGGTTACCCAAACAGTGTTTGCAACTTGCCAGTTTGCCATCAGGGCCTGCCGCCACCTGCAGGCTTTAAAATCTACAGGCCCTGAATGAAATCTGCAGGCTCATTTTGTCAAAGTCAAACCAATAAAAACAAAATAGACTACACTTTACACAGTTTCAAACTGTTTCTACAAAATCAGTTAGCATAGCCTATGGCGAACAGAGAGTTTTTTATTTGTTAAAGACTGGTGTTGACATTCCTATGCGCAAAGCGCTGTAATACCAGGAAGTGAAACTGTAAGTTATCGTAACATGATGGATCATGGATGATTCCCGAACGTTAATAAACAAAACAATTATGTGACAGATTCCCATTGAAAAAAAAAAATTAACAGATAATTTGCTGAAGGCCACAAGGGCCTACACATATTTGAAACTGCCGGACCAGTACAATAACAGTCGGTGCTGGGCCTCGGGCTGGTGATTATTTCGAACGATGTACCCCCAAACCAGCACAACCATATTTTCTCTTGTAAAATTGCATTCCCTTTTATTACTGATTCTGTAAACCCATGATGGCAATTTGTAAAATGATGGTGCTTTGAAAGTAATAGATCGTGTGGTCAGGCTCGCTGACTTGGTTGACACATGTCATCGGTTTCCAATTGCGCAGATCGATGTTCATGCTGTTGATCACTGGACTGTCTGGTCCAGATTCGATTATTTACAGATGGCTGCCATATAGCTGGAATATTGCTGAGTGAGGCGTAAAACTAAACTCACTCACTCACTCACTATAGATACTAATAGATCCTATTGTCTGTGCTTTAGATGGGCCTGTCAGTTGTTAGTACATTTCTTTACATCATTTACTGGGTGTACTTTTGACATAACTGTGAAAGATAAATTATTATTTCATATAGAGATCGGTAAGAAATAAATGTATTTGCGTTGGACCAAA